AATTTAAGCTATATTAGAACATATGACATGGTTGTTGGGTGGCATCCATTTACCCAAACATATCATCTTTCTACTACGAAGAATCAAATAATTCATTTATAAATAGTGTAAGTAAAAAATACAGCATATTCTAAGTTATAGAGAGCTTTCATTGATAAAATAAATTATTGATTGATAGGCTGTTGGTGGCAATAAAATAGCTTAGAATGCCCCTTGCCTACTTCCATCTAAACCAAGTAACACCTGATGATACAAATCTCCGAATGGATTTTGTTATTAATGCAAATGTCTGGAGAAAGAACTGTTCATGCCTATCAAACCATCCTTTTTATTTTTTCAATGCAGTATGGAAAATCAAAACAGGAATCTGTCTGGCTAATATACTGGCGGCCCTTCAGCTGTTGCCAAACTACAAGTCCCATGAGACATTGCAAGATTGACAGTTACAAGCATGACTCCCAATGGCAGAGGCATGATGGGACTTGTAGTTTTGCAACAGCTGGAGGGCCACCAGTTTAACACCCCTGATCTAAAGCAACTTTCTCTGGGGGTGGTTTGTTGTATATGCGTAGGTCACTTGGTTTAATTATTTAACCGTTGCTATATAGAAAGCCATTGTCAGGAATAGTTAGGCTGTATCTTTAGTTATTTCATGTTTCCACGTTTGTATTTTGTCTATGGTAAATCTGGCTTTCATCTCTGCGAAGAAAGCAAAGAAGACATTCGTACATTAGCTGAGAAAGTGTTTGCAACCGAGGTTTTTGGTGATGATGCCAAGGATGAACTTAACCTCTTTGATGTTGTGGAACACTGCCCCATAGCACACCATGAAATGAAAGATCACATGGTTCTTCTAGATACCAAGGAGGCTCAGGATAAAAGGTAAAGACTTATAGCCTAAGGTAAAGACTGATGTATAGTCTACACCAGTGGCTGTCAACTTTCTTGATATATGGGGACACGCATGAATTGAATATAAAACTACAGAAAACTGTCAGAGAATGTGACATGCAACAGGAGATGTTCAAGATGCTATAAGAGATGGTCAAGGGAATATGGAGACTGGGGCATGCTTGAAGAGACAGCATAGATATGTTATATAAGAGCAGTAGACTGCTATCCGTTCCATTTACAAACCAATGCTTCCACACAGTGTTGGCTAAGGGGCAAAACAATTGCCCTGGTCCCCTCTGACAAAGGGTCCCCCTCTAAAAATTATATAAAAAATAAAGAATAATAATAAAAAATAATAATAAAATAATATAAAATTTAAAATTTTAAAAAATTATTTATCTTGAGAAGTAATTATTTGCTGGCCATCATCTGTAAGAGTTTTTACTCTGGATCGGTATATTGGGCTCCATTCAATAAATTAGATCACATGCGGCATTTAGTTGTCCAGACACATTTTCCCTAAACATCGCATGTGATCCTGTAATTGTCAAAAACACATGATACAAATGTTATAAATGGAGTTGCAGTTCAGTGAGTAAAATAAGTGTTTGATCCCCAAGCAAAACAGTGCTTGGTAGAGAAACCCTTGTTAGCAAGCACAGAGGTAAGATGTTTCTTGTAGTTGGTTACCAGGTTTGCACACATCTCAGGAGGGATTTTGGTCCACTCTTCTTTACAGATCTTCTCTAAATCCTTAAGGTTTCTTGGTTGTTTCTTTGCACCTCGAAGTTTCATCTCCCTCCAAAAAATTTCTATAGGTTTAAGGTCTGGAGACTGGCTAGACCACTCCATAACCATAATGTGCTTCTTCTTGAGTCACTCATTTGTTGCCTAGGCGGTATGTTTTGGGTCATTGTCATGCTGGAAGATCCATCCACGAACCATCTTCACTGTTTTGGTTGAGGGAAGAAGGTTCTCATCCCAGATTTTACAATACATGGCCCAGTCCATTGGTCCCTCAATGCGGCAAAGTCGGCCTATACCTTCAGCAAAGAAACAGCCCCAAAGCATAATGTTTCAACCTCTGCACTTGACTGCAGAGATTGGGTCATAGTCAGCATTTTTCTTCCTCCAAACACCATGAGTCGAGTTCAATTTTGGTCTCATCTGACCATAGCACTCTCTCCCAATTCTTCTCTGAATCATTTAGATGTTCATTGGCAACTTCAGATGGGTCTGTACATGTGCATTCTTGAGGAGGGGTACCTGGCGGGCGCTGCAGGATTTCAATCCATGGCAGTGTATTGTGTTACCAATGGTTTGTTTGGTGACTCTGGTCCCAACTGCCTTGAGATCGTTCACAAGCTCCTCCCGTGTAGTTTTGGTTGTTTCATGGAGCTCCAGACCGAGGGTGAATGATGGTTATTTTGTATTTCTTCCACTTGCGAATAATCGCTCCAACAGTTGTCACCAAGCTTCTTGCTGATGGTCTTGTAGCCCATTCCAGCCTTGTGCAGGTCTACAATCTTGTCCCTGACATCCTTTGACAGCTGTTTGGTCTTGCCCATGGTGATGAGGTTTGAATGGAAGAAAGATTCCATGGACAGGTGTCTTTTATACACATAATGAGTTGTTAGGAGCACCTTTTTAAATTGATAGGACTAATCTGTGTACCACATGAGCACATAGCCAGTCTGTGGGAGCCAGAATTATTGTTGGTTGGTAGGGGATCAAATACTTATTTTACTCACTGAACTGCAGCTCAATTTCCAAAATTTGTATCATGTGTTTTTTCTGGACGTTTGGTTGATATTCTGTCATTTAAAATAAACCTATGATAAAAATTATAGACCCTTAATTTCTTTGTAAGTGGGCAAATGTACAAAATCTGCGGTTGATCAAATGATTATTTTCCCTAGTGTATCATACATTTATTATATAATTGCATGGTTGATATTTGTGGTCCCATCCTGTAGGTGTCAGTATAACCCGATTAACTGACTCCTGTGTCCCTTAAAGTGGAACTAAACTCACCTACAGTATGCTTTACAGCCTGTTTGATCTACAGTTGTCATATTGCTGCACATGTAATCAGTTATGACACCAGCCTTTTGATGGCTTGACAATTTCAGTTGAGAGCACAAGCATCTGTGACAGTGATCATTCACGGCATATACACAAATCCTGTTTTTCTGCACTCACTGAAAAAGTTTTTAGCCTGATAAATTAAAAATAATACAGCCACCATATGCAGGACTGGTATACTAAAATATATTACATTTTTGCTTTTGAGTTCAGATATGCTTTTATATAAAACCACTTGCCTACCGGGCACTTTCACCCTCTTCCTGGCCCGACCAATTTTCAGCTTTCAGTGCTGTCGCACTTTGAATGACTATTGCGCGGTCATACACCACTGTACCCAAAAGACATTTTTATAATTGTTTTGAGACATATATAGCTTTCTTTTGGTGGTTTTTACTCAACACTGGGGTTTTTTTTTTTCTAAACAAATTAAAAAAGACCAAGGATTTTGAAAAAAAATTAAAATTTTTTCTTAGTTTCTGTTATAAAATGTTGCAAACAGGTAATTTTTCTCCTTCGCTGATGTGTGCTGATGAGGCTGCACTGTTGGGCACTGATATGCGGTACTGACAGGATGCACTGAAGGGTACTGATGAGGTGGCAATGATGAGGCTCCACTGAAAGGCAGCACTGATGGGAACTGATAGGCTGCACTGAAGGTCACTGATAGATGGCACTGACTGGTGACATTGAATGGCACTGTCTGGAAAAACACTAATGGACACTGACTGGTGGCACTAATGGACACTGACTGGTGGTACTAATGTACACTGACTGGCGGCACTAATGGACACTGACTGGCGGCACTGGTGGACACTAACTGGGCAGCACTGATGGACACTGTTGAAACTGCACTGATGGACACTTCTGGGACTGCATTGATGGACACTGTCGGGACTGCACTAATGTCCCCTTGGGTCTGCACTGATGTTCTCTGATGTGTAAATACACTTGCTCTCGGCTCTCCAATCTTCTCACTCCGTGACAGCGTGAGAAAAGTGCAGCTGATAACCGACAACTGATCATGTGATAAAAGGGCGCTGTGATTGGGCCAAAGGACACAGCGATCACAGAGCTTGCTGGGTACGCACCACATGGCACATGGTTCTGGAGCACGTCATATCACGCCCTCCCAATACGTGACAACCGTGCTGTAGCCGTCATCCAGCTATAGCCAGGTCATCAAGTGGTTAAAGTGGCTGTAAAGCTTTGTTTTGTTTTTTAATTAAAATAACAAACATGTTATACTTACCTGCTCTTTTTAATGGTTTTGGACAGAACAGCCCTGATCCTCCTCTTCTCAGATCCCCCACCAGTGCTCTTGGCCCTTCCCCCTGCTGAGTGATGCAGAGCAAGCTGCTTGCTCAGGAGGCACTCATATGTGCTCGCTCCTGAGCAGACCCTATATGTCCACCCCCCGTTCCCTTGTCACTGGCTGTGATTGACAGTAGCAGGAGCCAATGAGGAGAGAGAGAGGCCCGAGAGAGCCCAGGCTCCTGTGCACAGTGCTGGATTGGGGTCGGGATCAGATAAGTATTGGGTGGACTAAGGGGGGGAGCTGCACACTGAAGGTTTTTTACCTTCACGCATAGAATGCATGAAGGTAAAAAACCTTAAGCCTTTACAACTACTTTAAACAGATTATTTGTATATTTGTAATAAAAGAGCAGCTGAAGTATAGTCCTCTTACTGGCAGAGTGAAAAAAATAGTGTCTATACCCCCATGGCCACTTGCCACTGTTAGTATTTGTGCATACCTTAGCCACTTCCCGACTGCCCTATAGCTGAAATACTGCAACAGGGCAGTACGGTGCACAAAATCACGTATATATACGTAATTTCGCATTTCCTGTTAGGGGGTGTGCGTGCCCTACATGCACTGCCATTCGCTGCCATGGCTGTCATTCACCGGGTCCCAGCTGGTAATTATTTGCCATCGCCCGGTGATTTCTGAAGATCTCTGACAGAGGAGGAGGACTGTTTTGTTTACTAACAGTTCTTCTCCCTATCATCTTGGGCACACTGCTCTGGATGGCTGTGCACCAGGGGTGGACGTACAACTCATGGGGCCCCCCGGGCAATAGGGGATCATGGGGCCCCTGTGTCCTTGCCAAAACTCAAAAAAGCCTATTAAAAAGGTACCAGGGGCATCTCATGGGGCCCCCTACTGACCCCGGGCCCTCGGGCAGTGCCCGAGTTTCCAAATGGTCAGTCCGCCCCTGCTGTGCACAGCACATTCATCCAGAGCAGTGTGATTACAGTGAAGCACACAGACACCACCCTCTAGTAAAACACTCCCTGCACACAGTTAACCCTTTGATCGCCCTTCATGTTAACCCCTTCCTGCCCAGTGCCATTAGTACAGTGTCTGTGCTTTTTTTTTAGCACTGATCACTGTATTGGTGTCGTTGGGGATATCAGTGACACCAAATCAGTTCTCCCCAGTTTCAGAATGTCTGCCAAAGTCCTGCAGTCCCGCTATAATTCGCTGATCGCTGCCATTACTAGTAAAAAATATATATACAGTATACTGCCATTTGTAAACACTATAACGTTTGCATAAACCAATTAAATTACACATATTGGGATTTTCTTTAGCAAAGACATGTAGCAGAAAGCATTTTATTGTAATTTTTATGATGAAATTTGTTTTTTTAAACATTTTTTACTGGACATGTTTAATAGCAAAAAGCCAAAAATATTGTTTTTTTTTTCTCAAAATTGTCGCTTTTTTTATAGCGCAAAAAATAAAAAACCACACAGGCGATCGAATACCACTGAAATAAAGCTCAATTTGTGGGGAAAAAAGGACATAAATTTAATTTAGGTGCAGCGTTGCATGATTGCGCAATTGTCAGTAAAAGTATCGCACCAGCGCACAAAAAATGGCCTGGTCAGGAAGGGGGGTAAATCCCCAAGAGGGCATGTGGCTAGTAATGCTTTCCTTTGTAAAATATTTATACATGTGTTGGTCTTATTTTTCTTTTAAAGGAAGAAGCGTCTACAACGTCTGAAGACAATTGCTCTCAAAGTCCCTGAAGCAGAGCAGAAACACGCTTCTGTAGCAGACATAGCAAATTCTGCACCTCTCTATCAAACTGTACCAGAGTTCCAAAGGGTAGAGATTACTGGTGATTATGCATCTGGGGTAAGGAATAAAACCTTGTACACTTTCTTTGAAGCTGTGTTCATTTGATGGTAAGATTGTAATCCTAAGGTCATTTTTTTTTTGTGGCGCTGTCAAAGAGCAGCAATGCAGGTTGTAAGTCACCGTCACCTATTTTAGAATGCGTCCCACCACGGGACACAGATAGTTCACATTTGTACATTGTGGAGCACACTCATGTATAAACCTTGTGCAGCTCCCCCCAGACCCAATCACTCAAAGCCCAGTAAAACCTTAACAACGAATGGCACAAGGCTCTCACCAGTGAAACTGGTCCCTGAGTCTCCAGATAGTCCTGTGTTTGCAGGCAAAGGGTCCTCCCTCTTGAGCCTGCTCCTATCAGCTGTTACAGGAGGCCCCCTTAGTGACACCATACACAGAAACTCCTCTTTAGGATCAGTAAGCCTAGAACTACAGACCTGTATGGCACTCACTGGAACCACAGATCTGGTAGAACAGCCTGCACAGTCCAGGTGGCCACATCTGTGGCTTTTTAAATTGCAATTAGTGTCAGTGCACAAATAGCCAATGAGTTTGTTAGCTCTTACGTGGAAGCACTGACTAGGCTAGATACTGAGCCATGGGGAGCAGAAAAGAACTGTCAAAAGTCCTGTGTAACAAAGTAATGGAACTTCATAAAGATGGAAAAGGACATATAAAGATGTCCAAAGCCTTGAATATGCCAATCAGTACTGTTAAATCACCTACTAAGAAGTGGAAAGTTTGGGGATCTCTTGATACCAAGCCAAGGTCAGGTAGACCAAGAAAGATTGCAGCTATAACTGACAGAAGACTTGTCCGGGATTCAAAGAAAAACCCACAGGCAACCTCAAAAGAAATACAGGCTGCTCTGGAAAAAGACAGTGTGGTTGTTTTTAAGGAGTACAATACGGTGATACTTGAACAAAAATGAGCTGTTTGGTCGAGGTGCCAGAAAGAAGCTTTTACTGCACCAATGCCACAAAAGGCCAGTTACAATATGCCTGACAACACCTTGACATGCCTAACCAGGCCTTTTTGTGTCATTGATGCATTTTTTCCAGAGCAGCCTGTATTTCTTTTGAGGTTGCCTGTGGGATTTTCTTTGAATCCACTTCTTAATAGGTGATTTAACAGTACTGATTGGCATATTCAAGGCTTTGGACATCTTTATATGTCCTTTTCCATCTTTATAAAGTTCCATTACCTTGTTACGCAGGACTTTTGACAGTTCTTTTCTGATCCCCATGGCTCAGTATCTATCCTAGTCAGTGCTTCCATGTAAGAGCTAAAAAATTAATTGACTATTTATACACTGACACTAATTGCAATTTAAAAAGCCACAGATGTGGGACATTAACCTCTAATTTCCATTTTAACCTGTGTGTGTCACCTTTTGTGTCTGTACCAAGGCCAAACATTCCAGGGTATGTAAACTTTTGATCATGGCCATTTGGGTGATTTCTGTTATCATTATGATTTAAAAAGGAGCCAAACAACTATATGATAATAAATGGCTTCATATGATCATCATCCTTCAATAAAAGAGCATTATTTGGTATGATCAGTCATATTTTCAATATCAATGCCAAAATGTCACAATTTCTGTCAGGGTATGCAAACTTTTGACCACAATTGTACATATCTCCCAAAGCCTAGTTGAAAAAGTTGCAGAGATGACATCATTCCATCCTGCAATCTAAGGTCCCTAACTCACATTCCTACATACACATACAAGGGCCAATTTAGACATGATCCAATAAACCCAGCAGCATGTCTTTGGATATACTGTCTCTCCCCTGCAGCAGTAGCTCTGAGCTTAGCAATTCTGCGATGGAGGAGATAGTGGACCACACATGTGCGAGGGTTTGAGAGCTTACTCCCATGATGGAGTAACAGCTGTGAGTGTCTTAGCAACACCCAAGCAATAAGTCAGGGTGGGAGGATGCCATCTCTGGGAGTTTTTCATCCAGGCTTTGTGAGGAACGTAAAAGACCTACACTTATAGCAAGGGCATTATCAAACTTTAGTCAAAGTTTGTTGTTATCTACAGGCAGCCTTGCCGGCATAGGCAGTTTTTTGATAAAGGTGAACTAACCTTTAAGGGATCTTGATCTGCTGGTGTTACTACTTAAAGTGGAACTAAAGCAATTGATTTGTTTTGAAAACAGTTTCATTTGAGGCATGCTGGGAATGTCTGTTACAGTTGCTTGTGTTCTCAAACAAACTGTCAAGCTAAAAGGCTGGTGTCCTAATTGATCACAAGTGCAGTCCCATGGCAACTGCAGATCTAACAGAGGCCAAGATGGTAGCTTCCTTGGCTGTAAATAATAGGAGGATTTAGTTCTGCTCTAACTGTAATCCTTTTCTTTTAGAGAACTTACTCCAATCAGGAGATGGAGTATTAAAGTTCAAAGGTCATTAATTGGCAGTTGGAAAGTTCAGTTTAGACTGGATAGAGAAAGAGTTTCTTTTTTTTATAATGCAGGTGGAATAGCTACCCAGCCATGTGAAATCTGATGCCATCTGAAGTCCTGAGGAAAGACCTGCAGTGCAATTGAAGAGAACAGCTGAGCATGCTTGACCCCTAAAGGGGAATCCCCTTCTGCTGCTCCATGTGGTAATGGAGTGTGTGGAGTACCCGGCCAGGAATACATTTGCTTACTAAAAGTGATCAAAATGAGAGATATGTATTTCTTGAAAAAGATAGCCATAACAAAACAGGTTTCACGTTCTTAACAATTTGAGATGAGAGTTATGCCAATTGTTGCTGCGATCGGTATGCTAGCAATCCTGCCTTGACTTTTCTCTCCAGTCTGTTTGACCTTTGACTACAGACATGGATGTTAAAAAAAACATTGTTTTCTCTTTTTTGGAGTAAAGAGAATGATTTCTTATTGGCTACAGAGATATTCTAACGTGTTAAAAAGCCTTGGTAATTTAAGATGTATTTAAATTTGTTTTAATATATATATATATATATATATATATATATATATATATATAAAAATAATTTTTGTTTGTTTGTTTAGTTAGGTACTTGCAAACGGCTGTTGCATATAAAAATCTAACTTGAAACTGTGGGAAAATTAAAAAAAAAAATGAAATATTGTTTTAGGTGGTCTCTAATTTATCAGCAAACAAATTAAAGCCCAACTCCAGCTAACACGTTTAAGCACTTACAGTAACAGTTTTTATTCTTTTTTCAAAAAACACAGAAATATAAAAGAGTAACAACCAAAAAAAGTGGTCAAACAAGCGTGCCACGTTAAGAAAAAAAAAAATACATATTTTTGTCGGAGTATAGACCTATGTTTGTTCCAAGCATGTTTGAGCCTGGGTTCACATATATGCCATGTGTATATTGCATGTGATTCCCACAGGAACTGCACAAAATCTTGTGCAAATCACGTGCGTGAACAGGTATCCCAGCCCATGATGATTGGACTACATTCCACAGTTCTTCTCTATTTCTTGGTTTTGCCTCAGAAACTGCATCTTTGATGTCACCCCACAAGTTTTCTATTGGATTAAGATCCGGGGATTGGGCTGGCCACTCCATAACGTCAATCATGTTGGTCTGGAACCAAGATGTTGCACGTTTACTGTGTGTGTTTGGGGTCATTGTCTTGTTGGAACACCCATTTCAAGGGCATTTACTCTTCAGCATAAGGCAGCATGACCTCTTCAAGTATTCTGATGTATTCAAACTGATCCATGATCCCTGGTATGCGATAAATAGGCCCAACACCGTAGTATGAGAAACATCCCCATATCATGATGCTTGTGCAACCATACTTCACTGTCTTCACAGTGTACTGTGGCTTGAATTCAGTGTTTGGGGGTCGTCTGAAAAACTGTCTCCGGCCACTAGACCCAAAAAGAACAATCTTACTTTCATCAGTCCACAAAATGTTACGCCATTTCTCTTTAGGCGAGTCAATGTGCTCTTTGGCAAATTGTAACCTCTTCAGCACATGTCTTTTTTTCAACAGTGGGACTATGCGGGGGCTTCTTGCAGATAGCTTGGCTTCACATAGGCTTCTTCTAATTGTAACAGTACTCACAGGTAACTTTAGACCTTCTTTCATCTTCCTGGAGCTGATTGT